GGATATTGAAAAAGAAAATAGTCAACATGAATGAAAAATGATGAGGAAAATGGACCCCTTCGTTTTTCAACGATTTACCTTTGTTGCTTGTGTCTATTTGGGCAAACTCTATTAAGTATCAAGCCATCCAAGAAAACAATGCCAATAGAGACAACTAATCTAATTTTAACCATTCAAATAATGACAACTAATCTAATTTTTACCAATCAACTAATCTATCATAGTGAATTTAGTCATCCAGTAATCTACTCATCGTACTTTTTTTACTGATTAAATGTGAACTGGTTAAATGATCATACATTTGAAGAGATTTCATCTATAGAATAAATCTACATGATAACTTCTCAACAAGTGAAAACCATGTTTTATTAATTATTGAAAATCTGAATATTTTTCTATGTTTAATTTTGTAAGGAGATTCTGACTTATAGAACAAACAAAATTCAATTATACCCATACTTACGTACAGTACATACGAAGGAAACTAGCTAGTTATAGGAGACATACAAAATAAATAAATTAAAATGGCCCTAAATTCATGAACTTTTTTCATTCAACCATATAAGTTTAGGTCATAAAAAGTCCAGAATTTAATAACTTTAGACTTTTAAGATATAGTTTTAGCAGTACTTAAAACTGATATTATCTTCGTAAAGTAGAAGCCAAAAGAATAATTTACAATAACTTTTTTAAGAAAAAAATTAGAGGGAGTAGAAGAGAACTATTGAGCGCAATTGGGACATGGGAGAAGAAGCTTCTTTATTACCAAATTAAGTAAATATCCCAGACAATTCCATTTTTTATCTAAGCTTAACGTCACTATTCCTTAAATTAATTTCTGAAATTTCAACCTATGTTATAATGATTGTTTGATATTTTACTTCCTTTTAGATAATATCTGCTTGAAGATCACCTACCTATCGTATAATTTTATGTACGTATCATTTCGAATCGTTAGAAAATCTGTAATCTTAAAGTATTTAAGTGTATACATTGTTTGACAAAATTTTTTTTTTATCAAACATATACATACTATATTTGCTCATAGGCTCATAGCTATATACAAAGTCACGTGTACACATATAGAATCTTATTTTATTCCTCCGTTTAAGTCAGTTGACTTGAATACACTTCAACTCGTATCTGACCACAACAGAATATAATATTCAGGACTGAATTCAAACACTAGCTTATATAATCAAATATCTCGAACGTATAACTAGTTTAAGAAAAAAAAGTTATTGACCAACATCACAACATTATAATTTTTTTTTTATCTGAATCTCTCTGTTCATATACTTGTTAGAATGAACAATCGTGTTTTTTTTCTTTTGACATATTATATAACAGAAAAATGCATAATATGGGTGAATGCCTGAATGGTGTTATGGGCCCCAGTCGTTAGCTTTCTTACGATTTTACGGCTCGGCTATAGCTTCTTCGAGCCGAGCCAGAATACTGTCAGCTGGCTTTTGATGGTTTCTGTTTTTTTTTTTTTTAAAGCAAACAAATAAATATAATTCGCTGTTAATAGCACGCAGAATTCATCGCTCTATACTTTTTTTTTTCGACAATTCATCTCACCTTACAAAAAGGTAATCAGCAATGACTACTTGACTACCCGACACGTGTTCTGCAAAAAGAAACACATATGTCAAAAAAATCATATGATAAAATGTAAATTTTATTACTATATACAGAATCGAGCCTAACGGCAAGGGATATAAGTCCGATAACATAAACCATCGTTGGAGCTATTTACAATGATGACTGACGCATTCACCTTTCTTAAAAACTTTTAACAAAAAATATCTTTATAATATATGCATACGTATAAGTAATAACTACGAATACACATAAATTTCGATATATAATAAACTTTTAACATAATATCAGATAAATTATGCAGAAACAAAAATTAAATCAAATATCTACTTTTTATATTGGATTCGAACCAATATTTACTATAAACAAATTTGAAAATTGTTTTGTCCTGATTGAACCAATTTCACTTTCTATTCTGCCAAAAATATATATTATTTAGATTTCTATTGGATGGTGAAATTATGTTCTCACTTATGAATCGGATTCACAAAGAAGGCACAATCATCTTTATAATATTTAAAAGAAGAAACTAGTATTATATAATAGCTATCACTCGGAGATCCATTAATCTTTCATGGCCTTCTTAAAAGAAAAAAAAATCCCTTTAGTTTTTGTTAGGTATATACGAGAAAGCCCTTTAATTTTTCCCACAACAACGTGGAAAAATTGTCCCGAAAGAAGAAAATGTCCAATGTAAATGACACTGATATTTGAGCAAAAAAAAAATGACACTGATATACAAGCCCATTGGAAATACTACGAGTGAAAAAAAATATATAAGAAAAGAAATATGTATATATAACAAACTGATGGCTTTTGTGGTGTGAAGTGTAGTAACTTGTGTCCACAAATATATTAATGGTCACGTTGGTTTGATATATCCAAAACGATATTTAAATCGGGCATGCAAGTACGTGGTATAACCAAGAAACCTAAATAGGTGCATGCAATTTTTGTTTATTACAGAATAGGAAATTAGACCCCAATTGGTTGGAACACCAAATCACTTTATTTGTTTAATCACTTTGATCGTATCCCCAACGAAGATATTTTCCATGCATTCCATGTGTATCTTCTCATCCTTAGTATTTATGGTTTAGCGTGTAAAGTGCAACTCTTTTTACAAGTTAGTTTTCTGACTTTTATAGTCTATATCATTCTATTTACTGCAAATAACGTCTAATCCGTGAGAACATTGAGAACCGAAAATTGCTAAAGGTTTTTTTATGACTGGCGAGTTCCACGTGGGTAACATTTCAAATGCATTTGAAACGATGTAGTAATGTGAAATGCATAAAGTATATAGTGTTAAAACATTCTTTCAAAAACCACGAAGGTTATAAATACAATATAAAGAAAATAATCGATAATGTAAAACAGCTAAGAGTCTAAGAGGCTTTATAAATTAAAATAGTCTATTTATAGAATTATAGGTTATCTACAGGTTATTCAAAAGCACGAAACTAATCATATATATATATATATATGCATGTGTGTATGAAAATCAAATAGTAGTAAGTACATCACTCACGCCGCACTTCTTTTATTCCACACATTTTGTCCGAACAACACATCATTCCAACTTTTTAATTTAATTGGACTTGCTATATAACCCGCGATGTAGCCAAATAAACTATATTTCATCGCGACGACCTCTCTTTATGTCTTTTTCATGTTAATTGACTAAAATAGTATGTGTTCGATCTTACATATGATAGTGTTGTGACTTATGAGTAACCAAGGAAACGAAAAAACAAAAATTATAACCAAACTAATGGTTTTTTTGAACAATGTAACCTAACTAATGGTTTCAGTATGGTTCCCTAATTATGTTTATTGATATCGGAATATGGAAAATGTATTTTCAGTAACTATAAAGTCTATAATATCTTATTGCATATAATAATTAAGATAAAGACGTAAGATATAAATTGTACTTTGATTGAATATAATATTTTAAATTTTTAGTCCATTTTCTACTAAGATTATGGGCCTTATGGCTCCAAAAGACTGTTTGGCATTAGCTAACTCTGAAACAATTATTTTGTAGAATAACGAATTCTATTTAAATGATAATTAATACTTGCATCACGTTTTTATCTTCGAACTTTAATATGTCAAGCAGATCATCATCTTTCTTGTATTCTGACAACTATCTTTCTTTTAGTGTTATATCAATTTATTATATCAAGTACGTTAACAGAGAAAAATAGTATCCTAAATTCCTAATGATATACAAATATTATCGTTTATCAAATTTTGTATTGAAAAAGAAATATTATTAATTTCAAAGTTTTATCACCATAATCAATGTAATACGTTTGAACTTAAACATTTGGATTTACGAATAAGAAAGAGTATAAGACTTACCAAAACGTAGTAAATTTTTTGGTTTAAGAACAAAAAAAGGTAGTAAATTTTATCGTAAATTTTGCCTCTTGTAAAGTTATAAGGTTGTGTTTTATCGAAAAGCCGATATGAGCCGAGCCGGCGATACTTCCTCACGTGTCAAAACGTTTATGAGCCGTATCCTTGGAAAACTCCCACGTGTCCACTGCAATCAAATCTTGGTAGGAGGCGACGGTCAGATATTTATCTCCATCAGCACTCTTTTCTCTCCTCATCTCAGCCGTCCATTGCTCTCTCTCTCTCTCTCTCTCTCTCTCTCTCTCTCTCTCTCTCTCTCTCTCTCTCTCTCTCTCTTGTATCTCATTATCATACAATTACTTTTTTTTTCCACCAGATATCCGGTAAATCAATGAATATTGTTATCTTATACTACTACATTTTGATAGAGTTTGCGGGTTAAGATAAGTCACATTATAAAGTAATAACGTAGAAGTATTGGTGATCACTTGATCTCAAAAAATTGATTTCACATTCTTTTTTTGGGTGCATGTTAGTAGTTAAGTGAAAGAAAAAATAAAAACAGAGAGCTTACGTGTTCCACGTAATTATGAAAGACTGTTCTCATTCTTCATTAAATATACAAAACCCAGCTATTGTTGTTAGCTTTCTATTTTGGTGTATTTATTGCTTTTACATACACAAAACTCCTTTATACACACACAATATATGGCGTACCATTGTGTATATATGTGGGCATTAGATATAATTTTATTTTTTTTAATTGTATACTTTTATAAGCACAGTCCACAAATTTCAGAGTCTTAAGTCTTTCCCTTTCAAAGATCTCTCTAACTCCACTATAGATCCCCAAATTTTTCTCACTATAAAAGGAACACATTTCCTCTCTCTCTCTTTTCCATCAACTTCTCCCTACTCTCTTCATCTTCTTACACCAAATACTGTCTTCAAGAACCAAAGAAACTTCACTCTTTAAAAACTTCGATTAATCAGATCAATAAATTAAAGCAGACACACTTTCCCCAACAATGAGAATCTCTCTTTCTCCCATACGTCCGTACAGTGTAGTACACTCATTACCAAACCACGACGTCGTTTCTCACGTTAATGTTACCATGTCTAATCGTCACTGTCGATGCGTACTTACTCTCCCTTCACCTACAATTTCTACTTCCCGATCACCGGTTATGCCCAAACCAGATACCTGGGAGAGTTTGCTGCTAAACCAGGACCACACTGTTCCCGTCGAATTGTCGTCGTCTGGTTCGAATTATCCGGTTAAGCTCGGCCGGAGATGGATGGAGTACCAAGGGCTTCAGAATTGGGAAGGTCTTTTGGACCCATTGGACGAAAATCTCCGTCGAGAGATTCTCCGGTACGGTAAATTCGTCGAATCGGCTTATCAATCCTTCGATTTCGATCCTTCCTCTCCAACCTACGCGACGTGTCGGTTTTCGAGGAGCACGTTGTTAGACCGATCCGGTTTACCTAATTCCGGTTATCGACTCACGAAGAATCTCCGTGCCACATCAGGTATAAACTTGCCACGTTGGATTGAAAAAGCGCCTAGCTGGATGGCTACACAATCCAGCTGGATTGGTTACGTGGCAGTATGTCAAGACAAGGAGGAGATCTCGCGCCTGGGGCGCAGAGACGTCGTCATCTCCTTCCGCGGAACCGCCACGTGTCTCGAGTGGTTAGAGAACCTTCGCGCCACGCTGACTCATCTCCCTGATGATGGGCCTACCGGACCGAATTTAAACGGGTCTAATTCTGGGCCCATGGTCGAGAGCGGGTTTTTGAGTTTGTACACTTCAGGGGCCCACAGTTTGAGAGACATGGTACGAGAAGAGATCGCTAGGCTGCTCCAATCGTACGGCGACGAGCCGTTAAGTTTAACGATAACGGGACACAGCCTCGGAGCGGCGATCGCGACGTTAGCGGCGTACGATATCAAAACGACGTTTAAACGTGCGCCGATGGTAACGGTCATATCTTTCGGAGGTCCACGTGTCGGAAACAGAAGTTTTCGGAGACTCCTTGAGAAGCAAGGCACGAAGGTTCTGAGAATCGTTAACTCCGATGACGTCATCACAAAAGTGCCAGGTGTGGTTTTAGATAGCAGAGATCAGCAAGATAACGTGAAGATGACGGCGTCAATGCCGAGCTGGATACAGAGACGCGTGGAGGAGACGCCGTGGGTTTACGCGGAGGTGGGGAAAGAACTACGCCTGAGCAGCCGTGACTCGCCGTACGTGAACAGCATCAATGTTGCCACGTGTCACGAGCTGAAGACGTATCTACATTTGGTCGACGGGTTCGTGAGCTCCACGTGCCCGTTCAGAGAAACGGCTCGAAGAGTCCTCCATAGATGAAGATTCATCAGACATAACAGTTTAATTTTGTGCAGAGAAACATTAATTAAACCGAGGAAAGAAAATCAATAACCGTATGGTTTGATTCCGGTTAACAGGTTAATTTCGCTACATGCATCTCTAACTGATCATCATTGGTAGAACTAGAAAGTAAGTAGAAAGACAGCTCTAAAAGAGCAAAAAGTGAAATGAAGTTGGAATAATCTGTAATAGTACATATTTTTTATAAATCATAAAAATTTAGACGTATGCGTTGGGCATGTGTTTCTTCTAAATTTTGAACTCCTAAAGTGAAAAATTGTCTTAACTTGACTGAAGGAAGGTGAAAAGACAAGAGTATCCCTATCTCCGTCCAAACTTTAAGAATTTCGCTTTGGTGCCACTGCCACGTAAGCACCGACCGTTTGAAGAAATTGACCGGAAAAGGACATAGCAAAAGATTAGAAAGATTCAGTTACTTGTGAAATCTAAATCCAAATACCAAATAAGAACACGCATCATGCGCCGTCCATTTATACTTATTTTCCTCGTTACTAAGGGGAAATCACCTTCGACGCGTCCAATACAACAACATCGTTTTGGTAATGCAAAAAACAAAAGGCAATCGTACGTGTGATCCAATGTATTTGTTATATCTGTAAAAGTAATTACATTTACTATGATCGAATAATTCATTCAATACAATATTCGAGTACTGCTTTTTTTATTTTGCAAAATTAAGGCTGGCGCCCATATATCATTATTATATCCTCTCAGTCTCTCACAAGTCATAACAATTGCAAATTTCTTGTTAAAAACCAATTTGCGATTCTAATGACTACTTTCCATGTCATATTTTTGTTCAACATGTCTTTTACAATCCTGGCTTGCTTGATTTTTATTCACTTATTAGATTATATTTTATCTAAGTGTCTCGAATATCGAAGTGTATGAATGGGATATCTGAGTATTGGACGAGGCCAGAATTTACAACATGAAAACCGCATTCAAGATTACGGAAGTAATGAAAATCAAGAAAGAACTAGGAAACTGACTATAGTATGCTTCCGGTTTTAGGTCACTACAGATTACTGAAAATGTAATCATCAGAAATCTTTTAGCCATTACCAAAACAACAAAATTATGTAACCCGATAAATCCATGCATGAGAACAGTCAGCGTCAGTGCGTCACTATTTTCTTATGGTGAAACCGTGAAAGCTAGAGAAGGAGAATATATGGCATGCATGATCCAAGCCGTATATGTACATATAGACACGTCGTAGTCTCAAATATATATGTCCAAAAACTGGTTATGTCGCATAACCGACCCATACCTATAATTCTAGATTTTGAAGATATATTCCCTACATTTATATATATATATATATAGTTGTAGAAAGTGATGATCATTACCTGTACTTTGCTAGAGCTACAGCATTCCTCTGTCAAAATAAATAAATAAATATTTGGAATGAAAACCGTTGAAGTTTTATTTGCGTACAATAAGTTCATTCTTTTTTTTTTCTAATAAATACTTGGAATGGAATCCAGTGAAGTTTTTTTTGTTTCTGATAAAAATATAAAAAAATCACGACCGTCCTAAATTGATTGTTCCTATAAATAAATTGGATTTTTTCTTTGACGTATAATAAACTGGTTTATGACATTTGAAAGAGAAAAGAAAAGAGATAATTTTTTTTTCTTTGACATATGATAATAAACCGGTTTATAACATTTAAGGTAATCAAACTACAGTTTCTTGAAATAACAAGTTGTTCGCTGGATACAAATTAACTTGCTGTATTCGAAAAAGTTTATAATTTATTATATACAAATATACATTGGACAAGGACACAATAAAATAAGTTTTTCTCTTAATTTCACCTTTTGTGTGAATCATGTGTGATAGAACCAAAATTTCAATATGACATCTTGAAGCTTTCAGCCGGTTTTTGAACATGGACCAATAACAGCCTACGCTATTCGGAAACCACTACAATAATGATATACAGTATTATATACCACTATATTTTGGATTTCACTGGTCTGTGAGATGAATTACGAAATAACGAAAGCAATAAACAAAAAACTATTATTTTAATCAAACTTAAAACAGAACTGTAAGTCAATTGACTGATATTTGTTTTTTTTTTTCTAAACTAGTAATCATTTTGAATTTACATAGTTTTATGTTCTATCCGTCCATTTATTATGAAAACTATGTACCTAATTTGCTACTAATAACAGTCTGATAAATGGCAGTGATAATTTACATTGAGAAAAAGACAACGGTAGATTTTCAATATACTACAGAATATACATGAATGATGGCGTCTATATGACATAATTATTAGAATACGTATTTGAAAAAGAAAAAAAAACAACTAGAGGGAGAGTTGGAAAAAAAAAAAAGAGTGTGTGTATGCCATTATGCCTCCTACATCTCAACATTATGCAAAATTGCGGCTGCCCAACAACCACCCAAAAGAATTAGTCAAATAATCAAAAATCAATTGATGTCCTAATCTCTCTCTTACCCAATTCTCACCTTCATTTCAACTCCCCTGCACTTTTTCGATCAATCTATTTATTATTATAATACCATGTGTACACTACGCTAAAAAAAATTCCAATATTCTAAATAAATTGGTCAATCATTCGATTAATTTCTCTTGTGTATGTTCAACAGTATAAGTGGTGTGGAGTTCCACGTAAGACCATTTCCATCCTTCATACCCTATGGGGTTCTTAATTGTAAAGTGGTATTAAAAATAAATCAAAAACTTTAAAATTATTAAAAACTAGTGTTTAAAGTTCTAATATAAGGACCAATCTTTAAGAGTTTTTAAGGCAAGTGTCAGTTTTATATTGATTGCTGGAAGGATCACAAATTTATTATGGTTAATTAGTTGTAAAATGGATCACAAATTTGTTATTGAAAAAAACTTAAGAACTCTATAGAGTATGAGGGATGGAAATGCTTTAAATGGTGTGGAGTAAGGCGAAGATTGTCCTAAAGGAGAGACTTTAAAGTAAAGATTAAAAGCAATAAGAAGACGCAACGACATTATTTTCATCTGATCCAATATTCTAAGTTCACATTTCATGGTTTTTTGTTGTTGAACGTGGGTCATAGACTCATAAAGTATATTGAGTAATTACCGATCAATGATTTCCTTCTGACTTTTCTCCACAATGATTCGATCAATGCAATATGTCATGTGTAGATAACTCCCCGATCCCAAGTACATCTTCCCATCAAAATTCAAGTTTTTCTAAACAACCGGAAAAAAAAACTTTATAATCTAAATAATTCCCTACATTTTCTATTAAAATGCCCTATTGCCCTAATATGAGATTTAATTTGTTGAGTAAGGGCAGAGCCGTTATGGAGACCCTAAACAGTAGATAGAAAAATTATTTTTGCTAAAATAATAACAATCGTCATTCCAATTAAATATAAAACTATACTATAAATTTAATGTAAGTTTTTAGCTAAAAAAAAATTAGTGCAGGTGTAATGTTTTGTTGTCAAAATTTTTTTAACATATTACTGGTAAAATAGCTGTGAGTATGATATATGTCAATGGGTTAGTTACTTTATTTTTATAATATCTTTATTTTTAATAATAATTTATACTTTTTGAAGCCTCTCAAAAAATTATGTTTATATTTTAACTTTAATAATATTTTGTCTCTAATATTACTATAATCACAAAAATTTAAGCATAATTCTCTTAAAAAAAAAGGCTCTGAGTAAGGGGTGAAACTCTTGTCAGTATTTAGACATCCTTAACTATTGGATATTACTAAAATAGTTAATTACACTCATGAACTAGATAGCCGTAAAAGTTAAGTCATTTGTATAACAGTTTTTATAGTCACTAACCACAAATTTTTAAAAGTTAAAAATCACATACAAAGTCACCAAACTGAATAAAACGATTGTATAGTTCTGCATCCCAAATGTAATCAAGCTTATGTAAAATTAAATTAGTGGACGTCTATGCAATTTACCATCTATTATTATAGTTTAATCAATGGTATAAGGTTTTATTAAAAAAAAGAAAAAAAAAGAATATTAGCAAGGATATATACATTGTTTAATAGAAAAAATAGTTGACGTTTTTGACAAAACCATTTTAGTCTATCATCTCATTTTCAAAACCATTTTAACAAATAAATCTATTGAAATATTATTATTATTATTTTTGAGTTCATAGCTCCAAATTGATACACTGGAACATTATTATTATTTTTAAGTTAGCCATTCTACTCTGGAAAATAATGCAAATGTCATAAATATTATGACAATCGACAAAAAAAAAGCAGCAAACCTCCAATTGATATGCTTCGGTGAGTAATCTACCATGTTTTACATTACGCTCATGACGTGACATATTGTAATCCTGAAGTTGCAATGTGCACTTTAAAATTTACAAGCTATTCCTGAAATTCGAAGCTAGACGTTTGATCATTCTGTTGGTATCCTAACTTCATACAATGAGTAGCTTTCCATTTCAAAGGCATTGGGTAATCTGAAATATCAAAACAAATCAAATGGTTTTAAAGAGAAATAAAAGAAAAATAGAAGATAGTGATCTTAATGAAATAGATACCAAATATTTATACAGAAATTTCAAGCTTGATTTCCACTTTTCATAATTGGGATATAATGTGTTTGGCAATTCCCTAAATGAATAATAGTTTGCATTTTCGTCTAAGATAAACAAGAAAATTGTGATGAGATACTTTTGACAAATAGTTCAATCTGGAGTTTTCGTGATTCTAAACGTGATAAATTATATTATTGAACGTCTATGGCTCTACGCAATCTTCATCATGAAGTTTTATCAATGGTATAAGCCTTTTTCTTTGAAAAAAAGAAGATAAAAACAGAGAGAGTAAATATTTGGGCTTGGGTCAGATCCAGAAATTAAAAAACTGGGCCACTGTGACCACGTTGCCGTTAAACACGGCGAGTCATAAAATCTAAAAAAAAAATCATTAGATGTTCTT